TTTCAGCGGGGGGTCTAAATGAGCACCGTAGAAAATTGGACTGTTTCACGGGCCTTAATAAGATAGCCAAATTAGACCCTTATACTGGCGTACCGTATTTTACTCACCGAAGAGCCCCAAATTCGGGCTAAAAAAACCTTTTGAGTTGACAGTGTGGAGAATTAGACGCTGATCAATCGAATTCGAAGCACTATCTTCCATACTTCAATCAGAGGGAGTCGAGGAAATATCAAGCAGAAAAACGTATGTATCATAAATTAAGACACGACTGTATTTCGGCCGGCATATCTGACTACCGAACCTCCATATTTTATAGTTCACGAATTGAGTTTTAGGCTTTGCTCAATAATTTCCATATATTCAGTCAGAGGAAATATCAAGTAGAAATTATAAATATACGATATATCTTATGTTATATCTCTGCCGGCATATCAGGTGACTAGTGGCTTGAATCACACGAGTTTAATTTTAGGCGCTGATCAATCCAATTAGGAGCTTGAAGCAATGTCTGCCACCAGTATTAGCGGAAATATCAAGTAGCAATAGTATGTATTTAGATAATATGATATTTTTGCCTTAATATCTGACTTCTGAAATTGCATGCTGAAATATTTTAGGGTTTGGTCTGAACTTGGGTATGGATTTCAGAAGACACTTTTTTACTTTTATTCATCTCTTGAGATGTGTGTTGGCTTCGATCGATTAAGTAGGTTGCTGGGTGGCTGAGAGCATGTATCAAGGAATGTGTGCGCCAGCGACGTAGTGGTCAGAGATAAGGTGTCGAATTTTGGGCGAGAAATAGGATAGGAAAATGTGAAGTAGGGTAGGGGCTGTAAAAGCATTCTGGACCTTCCCGCCCAAATTTTCGCGCAAAACTGGTTCAATTCAGCATTCTGTTTTGCATTGAATTCATGTTAATTTTGCAACCCGTCTCGCCCGTCTCACAAAAACTGGATACTGCAAATTAAACAGCTAATAATTTTCCTTTGGCTTGTGATCAGGAGTGACTTGCAACCTTTTTAAGTTACCAAGAAGAGACAAGATTGGAAAACGAGAAGACTTCTCAACCTCGTAAGTCCGAGTCGGTTGCCTCGTCCCTAGGGCTTCCAAGGGAAAAGCCCTGGGACGAGGTTGACTAGATCGAATAGAATTGAACACTTTCCTAGCAGATGGTAAATACCTCGGGATCAATGAAAAGGTTTTCTTCATTGCTGAAGTAGTTGTGGTTGTGATTAGAACCCTCAGTCCCCAATATTTTCTGATCTTGCCCTCTGTGAACTTCTCCGCCACGCGCGGATAACATGAAGCACTTCGCTAGTGGTCATGTGATTTTCTCGTTGACTGGGAACGGAAACCACTTATGAAGTCATCGGTTTGAGACCGCCTCACCCGACACAATACTAGCACGTAGGGTGAAAATCTCCTGTGCTGTCTTGCGGATCTGGTAGGTAAGAAGTAGTTATACTTTTTTGAGTGTGTTGGAAATATGGGCTTCACTGGAAGTACATGTAGGAGGGTTACGTGGAGGACATTTACGAATGAGTACTCATGCATTGTACACGCGCGGGAAATCTGAACTCGGAATAGTTTCAAAACTAAATTCTGCTGCCGATGCAGGAGTTTGTTTAAGTACTAGCTGGGCCAGGATTTGTAAGTGTTCTCTTCTTGATGAATCCGATTTTTCCACAGTTTTGTGATAACTTAGTTACGAAGCAAATCGTGTTGATACAAAGCTTCGCGCTTCTTTGGACATGTATGAGCTAATGATCGATATGATGCGACGATGTCGTCGATTTCACCTATCAGTTAGTGTTGATCGTTCTGTAATTGATACATCCTGGAATGTAGTTGTACTAATGTTCGATCGAGCTGACGATTTGTAACAGTGATTGTCTTCAAGTAATTTTAATGGGCCGTCTTGTCAACAGCTGAATTCTTGAGTTTATTACAAAAGACAAAATCAAACTTCAACACAAACATTGATGCCCCCCTGCAAGGTTTCGAAAACGTCAGTTATATGTATTTTATAAAATCCTCAAGTTTGCCTTTACTTGATTTCATAATTACATTGTCACACTGGTGGTTATATGTACTAAAGGCAGACTATCACATTTTAAAATATCACATTTGAAGGCTTCATTTTAGCTATATTATTTGTTAATAATTTATTATGCATAATTGAGGGCTTAGTAATATTATCACATATATAGTCAATCAGTCTCATAAACAATTCTGTAGAATTTTTATTTTCACTGTTCTCATGGTCATTTTTAGCTCATACAAGGGATACAATACTAATTACACATACTGAACAATCTATTAATATTATCAAACTTTTTTTAAAAAAAGCTAAATATATTTATATGATGCACTAATAAATTATTCAAGTTATGTTTTGGGCAATGACCACAGATGTAAACTGCCATGCATGATTTGTGGCAGCCAATTTTATAGAGTGGAGGTGGAAGCTCTCTTGAGCAGACACCCTCAGATTGTGAAAAAGGTGTCTGTTACTGGAGCTGGCCACGTACGGGAATGTAAAAGTACAGAGTTTGTATGGGAGTTGAGAAAGATGGGGTTTTGTGAAGGTGGCCGTATGTAGAGCTGTCCGCTTATGAGAGTGTCCATTAGGAGAGCTCCCACTGTATTTACAAGGAAACAATATAAAAATTCATCCTAAAGAAGTTGTGACGTTCCGTGAGATGGCTTTGCCTTTTCAGTGGAGCAGTTTGTTATGGTTTTTGAAACAGTCAATGGCAAATAATCTCTGTAAGTAGTTGAAGTTCTACATGGTACTACATGAATGTACATGTATGCTGTATTTACAGTGAAACAGAGCTGCTGTGTATTACGCATTCTCCTCAAAGAGCCCTTTTCAACTCTGATTGTAGCAGCAATATTATTCCTGAAAGCTCTGCAATGATGTTGTTTGTGGGAAGGAGTGGGGGGCAGGTGGGGAGCTCAATGATGCCTTCAAACCCTGTTCAGGACAAAATCCATACATCTTGCTACCCTATTTGAGACAGGAGTCTAACCTTTTTTTGTGAGCCTGTTCAAGAGTGCAGCCCAAAGGTTGTTTGTTTTTGTGCCTTTTGTCTGCTTTGTTTTTTACTTCACATACCTTTTTTATAGCTAACAAAATAAATTAGATTTTTTACAAAAAAATGTTGGTACCACACAACAATCATAGACCATGCAGCACTAACAAAATCATACCCTGAAAGACACCTTTTTCACGACACAGTTAATGGTCGCGAGACTTTGAAAACCGTACCCTGCTCAGCAGCACATACCTGTTTAGGCCAAATAAGGAAGTGCCCTTTCCCCCCCTGGAAGATGTTTGCTATAAAACTTTCATGTAATGATTTTGATTTTACTGCCAGGCCCTATCCTGATTTTTTTTTCCTGATTGACATGTGTTACCACTGACTATTTCTGATGGTTGTACTTAAATTCAGAATATTTGATTTGCAAGTTTACAACACTGATAAACAGATAGCCTGTGTTCAGATGCCCTCTCCCTGAAAGAAAAATTTTTAGGATAGGGGGACCTGAAGAAGAAGAATTAGAATTCTGTTTTTTCAATCATGCTATTTAATTAAACCAAAATTGATTACCTTTTTCATTCTCTTTTTTTATATAATTTTTTTTCATTTTATCCCTAAATTTCCTCTACTATGTACTATATTTTTCAAACTAAGTAATGAGTTCTCAAAGATAAGGGTTACAGACCAGTGTAATTTAAAGTATTTCAAAACTTTAACTTAATGTTTGTGGTAAGAGTGCGTAATTTGATCGGTTGAACTTGACTTTAATCATTATTTTATTTATTTATTTTTTTAAGTGTGGTCTTTGACTTCTTATATTAATCCTGATTTAAGTCAGTTGAATAGCTGGAATTAATTAAATTATAGTTGTGTTTAATTGACTTTCAGTAATCATAAATATAAACACAAAATCTATTAATAACATTTTCTATATGTAGACCTTGAATGTCTTGTTACCATCAAAGTGCTGTACTGTAAACCCTTTAAAATATAAAAGTTATGATGTGAGACTGCCATTTTGTAACTCTATTTACATTTATTATTATCAAGAATAAAATACATGATTCTTCTTACAAGTGCAATTGTATAAAAATGATACTGGCCTTCCGGCTTTAAGACTAAGAGCAAGGTCATTAATATTTCGAATTGCTCCCTTGGAAAAGGGGTCATATTAAGATGTTTTAAAGGTGTCATGTATCATACCTGTATATCAACAGTAGCTGTATACAGTTGTGTTATGATAAAGAAGGGGTTTCACAGTCCACATAAAGTGAATCATTATGGTATGTGCAGCTGTAGTTTGATTCCAAGAAAAAAAAGTGGTTAAGATAAGAATTTAAAGGAATCGAAAATCCAATGTTTCATTTTCCATAATAATGTGAGAATTTGAGGGGGTATGTTTACAATATGTTCTAACTTGAGATTCTGTGAATAGATCAAATTCATGGGGAAGCTAGTACATGTATTTTACAGAAGTAACTGCATTGTACTCAAATTTGTTTTCTGTGTGTTAAATCAAGATGTGGTTTTTCGTAATTCATGTGACAGTAATAGTAACTACAATATTTTCATGTACTGAAGATTAGCCTTCATCCAATTTATGACTTTGTCATAGCTGATTCCTTGATTTATTTGTTGTGATTGAAGTACAGTGTATGCATGAGTTCATATAAAATGATTAATGCATGAATACTGTTATATCAAGTAGATATATCACATACATGTTGTTAACTTAATGACAGTATTGATTAAGTGTCCTTTGTAACAGAATGCATTTTGATAGAGCAGATGAATTATAATATCCTCTAATTGAATTAACTATCCATTCATGCATTTCCTGTTAGAATATTGCATTAATTTAAGTGATTTAATTTCAGCTGTTCAGATTGTTTTCCCAGAGAAATTATAATTAGAAGACATTTTGATTTCCATTTCTCTAAGGATCAGAAAACCATGGCCAGTTATGTAGGCTTTGCAAATCTGCCTAATCAAGTTCACCGCAAGTCAGTGAAGAAGGGATTTGAGTTCACTTTAATGGTTGTTGGTGAGTTCTCTGGGTTATTCCTTTCAACAAATGGCTTTATACTTAATTAGCGGAGCTGTAATGATGACATGTATGAATTATTGGAACATGTTAACAGTTATATAATATTACTAGCTTTAAATGTATATAGTTTTGTGATTACGTACAGTGAATGCTGTCAACTAGATGCTGCAAATTATTGGCTTATGAATTGCTGAGTGTAATCCAATTCCATCTGTCTACATGGTTTAATCTGGAGATGTCTGACTGGAGATGTAGAATTATGATCATAATGATCCCCTTCCAACTCAGTGTCTGCATTACTGAGGAGTTATTTGCTAAATATCTGTATTGTTTTCCTGACACTGGCAATCAAATAACTTTTCAACTCTCACAGAAGATGTACTGCGAGTGATACTTAGATTGGGACATGCATGCATTCATATGAATTTGTTGACAATGTAGTGGTCTATCTACTTCCCTGCCTTTAAATTTTGATCAATTATTTGTCTATTTTTGTTCATTTCCCCTGTTGATTTGGTATTTGTTCTATTTGGTAGAATTAATGGACTGTTTTGTTAAAGTTCTCTTCTAAATTACTTACACCTACAACACTAGTGGTTTGTGTGACAGGTTATTTTTGTAAATGAGAAACTGTAACTGTTTCTTCCTTTTTTATTTCCCCACTACAGGTGAATCAGGACTTGGAAAGTCTACTCTTATCAACAGTTTGTTTCTGACTGATCTTTATACCGACAGGAAAATACCTCGGGCTGCTGGTGAGATCCTTATGCAGATCTAACATCAAAATTAGTGCTACAGTTAATGCTCATGTACAATTTAACTTCTCATTAATTTTTCACATTTACTAATATCCTTTTATCACTTCCTTTTTTCACTCAGAAAACATTTCGTCATCTTGTAAACTTAGTATTGATGTGGCGATGTTTAAAAATTCATCTCCATGAAAATGTAAATCCCGAGATAAGGAAGTTAATGCAAAAAATTATGGGCCTACCATGCATGGATTCACACCAGTATCCACCATTTTATGGAAAATGGTCAGATTTTTCATAATAAATATTTACTATATTTTTAATAGTAGTAAAAAAAAAACTTTCCAGGTTGAAATCTGGGAATTGGTTTGGACAAATTAAATGCTTCATCCAAAGAGAATGGAACTGGTCAATATCCTGTCTGAATAACTCAGAAACCCAGGAAAGGGGACTTTAGGGGGTTAAAATCCCACAAATTTCTCGAGGGAGCGTGCCACTGGACCCCCCTAGCTAGAAGCTTGCACCTTGTTTAGGAAACCAGTCAGTATTTATTCAAATTTTTCCTAGATCTGTGTCTGCACACCAACCTTTTCACCCTATATGAATAACAAATATTAAAAAAATTCGCCTCTGTCAACAAATGTCTGAAACAGGGGATGAATCAAATGTAGAGAACTCCAGGCCAATTTCTTGATCATTATACAATGAGTTCAGATCTATTAAATTTAATAAAAAATGCAAAAGCTTTTCACCTGAGAGTTTAAAAGGTTTATGTCGTTTTGTAGATGGCGTGAAAAGGACAGTCAAGATTGAAACTTCAACAGTTGAAATAGAAGAACGAGGAGTAAAGCTACGCCTGACTGTTGTTGATACCCCAGGATATGGTGATGGTATGGACAATAAGGACAGGTTAGAATTTTTTCTTTCAATATTAACACTAACTATATTCCTTTTATTATTATTTTCTTCCTATTATCAGAGAAAATGCCTTTCAAAAGAAAAAGATGCTCAGATTAAAACTTAACCTCGGATTAGTGCTAATCAGCCTTCAAACAACCGGGTCCATGAGGTCAAATCCATGGCAACTCTGCTCTGGTCGGTAGACCCATGCTCAAGTACCAACTGAACAATTTGGCCTGTCACAATTAATAGGAAATTAAACTTTGACTGTAAGTTACTCAATAAGAAGACATCTATTTGCCTTGTAAAATATCATAACTAAATGTCAACATTATTTTTGTTTGTAGTTTTCAACCAATTTTGGATTATGTGAATGAGCAGTTTGAGAGCTACCTCAGAGATGAGTCAGGCCTCAATCGACGACACATCATTGACACCAGAGTACACTGCTGTTTTTACTTTGTAGCTCCAACTGGACATGGGTAAAGTTTGTTTGGATATATTATTTTCCCACTTTCCCAGAGACTGAGAGGGTTTCACTTTAACAACAATTTTTGGTGCCAGCATGTTTTCCTTTACCAAATTGTATATCCAAATCAAACTGGAATTTAGAAATGTTGGTTTAGGGTTTTTAGGACAGGGGAAAGTATAAAAGTAATGTATAGCCATAAATTTTCTTTTTATTTTGGTTTGTAGCACAGTTGGTGCTTGCTTCTAATGTGCTCATGAGAGGTTAGGTACATGTGTATGTTTAATCCAAGGGGAGGGTGCGGCATACATTGTATTCATTGAATTTAAGGTGCTTAATATGCCTAATCTGAAAACAAGGGGGAGCCTTTTCCTTTTTTAAAGAAGATGCTAGCGTGAGAGAAGGCATACATGTACAATTGAAGAGGGGGTGTTGCATTTTTCTTTTGGTGTACAAAAGGGCACTTATTTATTGCTTATCAGGGTGGAAAGAAGGTTAGTTTTACAGCTTGCCCAAATGGGCAAGCTGTAGCTAGCATGTATTAGCCCAAGAGTCATTTTAATGGCCCGAAAAAATTTTGAATGAGCAGGATTGATTACAGTACACTGTAACTTCTTTAATTTGAATTCCCTAAATAATGTCACTTGCCTGTTGGGCAAGTTAGGAACAGAATTTACTAGCCCAGTTAATAGCAAGGTACACAAGCTCTGGTCTATCAGACATGCCTTTCTGTGCATGTTGATGATGTAACAAAAATTATGTATGATTTAAGGTCTGCTCTTTTTAGTGATTTCTGTTTCTAACCTAATACTAGGGGCATTTAAAATAGTAAAGGGAAAGTGCTCAATTACAGGCATTTAACTTGATACTGCTCTTGCTGTTTGCAGACTAAAGCCTCTTGATATTGAGTTTATGAAGCAGCTTCATGATAAAGTAAACATTGTTCCTGTGATTGGCAAGGCCGACACCCTCACGCCAGCTGAACTTCAACATATGAAAAGAAGGGTAATAATATATGTACCTTTGTTGTTAGTAATATTAACTTGATGATCATGATCTTGTATTTATATTTGTTTTGGTTTACAAGTTGCTGTGCTGTTTATTTATATTTATTATATAGACACGAGTGTTAAATTAGCACAAAATATACCACTCGTAAAATTAATAAAAACTACATCCGGGACCCGACTGGTTTATTTTCCATAACCTCACACGTGAGTTTTTTGATGACGTAATTTCGGTAATGTCCCCTCGAAATTTCGAGGTGTCTTTCTTTTTGGCAAATAGAAATCTATTATGTTATCAATGTCTTTTTGTCTATATAATAAAAAGAACATTACATGGCGGCTTGAAGATATGAATTTTATTTTCACGTGGCAAAAACAATATTTTACGAACGAGCGCAGCGAGTGAGTAAAATATTGTTTTGCCACTCGAAAATAAAATTCATATCTTCGCGCCACCATGTAATATCCTCTATATATCCTTTTAAAAGCCTTCGTTCTTTGTTGTTTAGATCATGGATGAAATTGATGAACAGGGAATTAAGATTTATGAACTCCCTGATTGTGAAAGCGATGAGGATGAAGATTATGTGGAACAAACAAAACAGTTAAAGGTGAAATATTCAGTGTGGTGGTAATAAATATGTTGCATCATGCTCCTTGTATCATGGGTAACTCCTAGTATCAGCCTGAAGTGAAACATTACGTATGACCACAAACCGTTTAGTGGTAATTTTACTTTGATTAAGGGCCTGTTTACATGGAGGTGGGGGACCCCAGGTAGGTGAGGCAACCTGTTTAGGTGGGGTTAAACAAATAACCCTCATTTACATGCAATCCCATGCAATCTTACAACCCCGCCATCCAGGGGTGCACTTTCTCAAGATTATTGAATGGCTGCTATGCTAGTAAACAAGAAAAATCCTGGCAAACCACATGTTTTGGTGATTAATGCTCTTCTACACTCGCTTGCTGTTCTTGCTGCAACCTTCAGTGCTGTGGCTTTCTATTGTTACCTTTAATGATGCAATGCCACCGCCAAAGTAAATTTTGTGCAAATTTGAAGTATCACGAATCCGACCCTGGCTAGGCAGGTAACCCCACCTTGAAACGTCTACATGGCAAAATTTGACCCCGGCTGAGAGGGTTACCCAGTCTGGCAGACCGGGCTACCCGGCTTGGCAGGTCACCCCACCTATCAGGTAAACGTGATCAAATTAAAGTGAGAGATTATATGAACAGGCGGTTTACACACCTAAGCGGGTTACCTCACCTACCTTGGGTCCCCCACCTCCATGTAAAAAGGCCCTAATGTGGGTTTATTTCATGTTTATTGTATTCTCATACTTGATATTTTTAGGCAGGTATGCCATTTGCCGTTGTTGGAAGTAACACCCTCATAGAAATATGTGGGAAGAAAGTCCGAGGTCGACTGTATCCCTGGGGAGTGGTAGAAGGTAAGATATTAAAAGGAAATACAGTCAACCCTCTCTACAACTGCTACCTTGGGGAATATGGGTAAGTGGCAGTTGTAAAGAGATGGCTGTTATGGTATTGTAATATGATGACCGCATTTTTTTGGAAAGGGAAGAGCACTTTTATTTTGTAAAATGCTTATTGCAGCATGTCAAAACGGAAAACTGGCCAAATGTTCAAAGCTAAAATAAGCAAGCATTTAGGTACACTGAGTAAAAAAAGCTGCATTTTAAAATGTGGCTAATGTTGGATGCTGTAATGGAAAGAAAATATCAGGACTTAAAGACTTCAAAATCGGAACCATAAGAAAGCTGATCGCCTTGTTGTACATAGTGTGGTTATGGGTTTGCGGTGTCGCAAATTAGTTCATAACAGTGGAGAAAAGCAAAGAACTGTATTGGGAATGGTATGATGTAAATTGTGCTGTGTGAATTCTACTGTATATTTGACTTAACACACCTATCCTTGCTGTCTTTTCAGTTGAAAACCCAAAGCACTGTGACTTTGTGAAGCTGCGCACTATGCTTATGTAAGTTTCTGTTCGTCAAATCAGTCAGTTATGAGGCACTTTATAAGTACCGTAAATGATCTAATAAATGCCTCTTATCTAATAAACGCCCCCTCTACGCTTTTAAAATAGACGCCCCTGCCTTGTAAACGCCCCCTGTCTAATAGACACCCCCTCTGAGAATTACTCCAAAATACTAGAAATGAGCAAAAAGGAGCAAAATCATTCAATTCTTTCAGTTTCTTGCTTGATTAACACGGCTTTTCGTATTTCATCTTGCTTAATGTCAAGTTCAACTTGAGTATAGACTAACAATGTCAATACAATAACCCTGCTTGTGACTTAGCAATTAAATTAATAAAGGATTTTCAGCTCTTATCCATGGTTACTAGGTTTAAGTAAACACATAATTTTTGGATATTGAACTCGTAAGAAAATACCGAATACGTTTCACGTTTACGGCAAACGGCAAACGTCAGATTTAAATTGAGAATTTATCAGAATAGAAAATAAGCAGTCTCCCCTCGTTTTCCTCGCGTACAATTTAACTCGCTCCGCACCATCTGAACTCCGCGCTCTACTCTCTGAACGCCTGGAACAGGCTATTCGTTGGGTGCCCCTGATGCTTTCCTGAAAAGTGAGAAAAGTTACAAACAAAAGTTACTCTGAAGATGACTACCGCACAGGTTGTCGAAACGTCAGTCACTGTCAACAACAACAGTCCTATTCAGGACTACTTTCACCCGGACGATCAAACTCAACCTACTTTTGAAATGACTCCTGGGTTTCAAACCTTTCACAAACAGTTATAATGCCGAAAGAGAAAAACCGCACACATTTCTATATACCGTACTTGCGGCTTCGGTATGGTAGTGTGCATACAAAATTGCTTCTGCTTCTTCTTCTTCTGATTCACTGCAGCACTCATATGCAGGATCTGAAAGAAGTGACCCAGGAGGTACATTATGAAAACTTCCGGGCGGCCCAGCTGTCCAATGAAAATTCTGAGGATTTGATTGACGCTTCTGCTGTGAATGGAACGAGGTACGTGCCAGAGAAAACACACTAATTCTATGTCAGGTATCCGGTCACCTCGGCACCAAACCACCTTGCCAGCTAATGAAATTGCCCCCAAGAACAGAACTTAGTTTTATTATCTTAAAAAGTCTCATTAGTGTACGAAACAAACGAAAAGTACTTTGTCAAAGTTTCAGACGCCGAACCTATTACTGACGTATTTCAGAGTTATTTGTTGGTGCTGAGTCAACTTCCTGGTGGTGAGATGACCGTACATGTAAACCCGGCTATGTCATGGAAGATATTATTCATCGTGGTATATTTATAAAGGGTTTCGTTTATCGTTGGTCTTACGAAAGTTGCTTAGATATTGATCGTGGCGTTTCAACAGCTTACTGCAGGTTTTCGTTAGGTGATAATGTCGAATTACTGAGTGGGACTATTAGTACAACCGTGGTTGTTAGTGATTGGTGTATCACGAACCTCGCTTGCATACGAATTTTATCAACACGTGCATTGTGGTTCTTGACTGATGTGTATCTTTCTTTTTCTAAGAACTCGCCCAGTCCAGAAGGTGATGACGGATAAAGATCGCGCATTACTGGAAAAGGAGGAAGAGGTTAGTATTATGTGTAAATAACAGCATCCTGATTGTCTACGTACATGTAGTAATACATGTGCAGCAATCTTGTTCCCAGAGGCTGTGTTCCTGTTGGTCAGCCTCAAGGAACTTCGTTTAAATAATGAACCAACTGAAGAGTAAGTGCCGCCTTCTGGTCTTCTCAGATAAGAACCATCAGTCCTGTCTCACAATCCTTGCTCACACACTGTACAGAAATAAAAGAGTATGGGACGCCTTAGTCTCCGTTGTCGTGGTCTATCTCTGCTAGCATTTGGTCGCCTCGGCTGGGTTAAGCTTGAAGGGCTTCTGAGCGAATGCCACAACAACATACATACAGACAAACAGAAGTCAGGCTATTTGCCGGGTGCTGGAAGAATCCTTACTCAGAATTCAACTCAGGAATTAGGTGGAAAAAGGGAAACTTGCGAGCCGGATCCCTTTAATTGGTCACCCCTTCTGAGAGGTTTTTAAAAGCCGGTACTAACCCACGGAAGAGTGCATAGTGTTTGAAACGGCCTTATTAAGAGCACTGTTATCGAACTGGCCGGGAAAATTTAAATTAAAATACGTTGAATTAAGTTTTAAAGAAGGATTTTTATTTTAAATAAACGGATTATGAAATTTAAAACGGAATTGTTTGTTTTCCTGGAGATAGCTACAAGTACATTGAATTTAGCTATCTTTGGTCGTTAGTCGCATTAATCTCTGTCAACGCCGGCAGCAATTGCGTGGGAGGTACAATTGAAATTAAAATAACTGGCAGTGGAATCCGAAACTGCAGCTGTGCAAATATTTTGTTTTACCTACAGCTTCGTCGTATGCAAGAAATGATTGCTCAGATGCAAGCACAGATGAAGAGTCAAAGCTAGAAGCTGGGTCGAATGACGTTTGGGTAAAATTCCACCATACCCCCACCCCACCCCTGATATAAGGAAGATTAGCGAAAAAAAGTGAAGTAATTGAATATGGAATATAAAGCTGTATCTTACGAAGCTCTAATATCAACGTCTGTGATATCTACACTGGCGTCGCTCCCTGTTTTTTAAAGCCTGTAGAAATATAACGATCGGAGACAGAAACAGCAAATTAGGCAGCGTTATTAATGGCCAGCAATTATTTAATACAGTAAAAACTATCGACATTTTTAGGAATTTTATAATAGAGGTAAAGCTTTAAATGCCTTGTAGGAGTGTAAATTTAAGACTTTTTTGACTTTTAATTTTTATGCATTTGTTTGTAAGTTCTAATGTTTCAGCTGTCATTGCAATCAATTTTGTACGTTTGCCGGATTTAAGTAAGAGGTTTCTAGTCACATGTAAGGTGATACATTTTTTGACAGTTATTAAGCAAATTTTTTATTAGTCCATAATCAGCGATTTTAGATTTGAGCGAGAGACGGGATTGGTGTCGTCTCGATTTGCATTATGGGACTGCCTTAGGGATGCTAGGTTGCGCAGGGAACTGGGTCGAATTAAGCCCCCTCCCCCAGCAAAAAAATTTCCCATAGTGCAATTCAACATTACAACTAAACAGTCTCAAACAGAACCTCACTTTATAACAGATTGCTAAGGATAAATACTTGTTACAGAATGATTATATAAATATTTAACATCGTTAGGAATGAGTAGTAAAGGTTTTCGTCTTTAGTGAAGGACTGATTATTGCTAGCAGTTTAACAAAACGGCAACAACAACAAATAAAAAAACAAAAACTAACTAAGCCCTTGGATTCTTAAGGTTAAGAGTGAAGGAATATACCCACATTATGAACATTTTTTAGGAATAAGCAGATTGATATATCGATGATCAAACGTCAGTGCTTAAATATTGCTCAAAGAACCTCTTTCTCATTTCTTTCTCATTGGTCCTTTCCTGAACGTGTGGGTTTCCTTAAGAGGAACAAAAAATGGGAGAATTTGTTGGCAGGTAAACATGTGTGTTACCAAACAGTTTTAAGCAATTTGAGTCAAGAGAAAATGGCCTAGTAGAGGATTTTTACCATTTCCGTTTTATTAAGGGTAGTTTTGACAAATACTGAGAGACTTGTTCTAGAGATTCCAGAAGTTTGGGCCTCTGAGCAATTGAGAAAGATTATCTTTGTAAGGTTTTGAAAAGATGATGCGAATGTAGCGAGATTCGAGTTTCCAATCAACACCCAGAAAATTTATGAAGTAATTCTTGAAGTAGATTTGTTAAGTGATACTCTTACTTTATTACTCGAAGGGTGAACAAAAAAAGTGAATCACGTAGATGCATGCAAATAACTGTTCCTTTTTGGACTCAATATTGGAATATTTAGCTGTCGTGCTGAAACTTTTTGAAGTCGGAAAAGTTGGCGTGTAAGCTAAATGTGTGTAGATTGTTTTGCGATATTACACGCTTTAGTTCTTTTTTAGTTTTAAGGACAATTAAAATGCAAAGGTAATTTTCGTTGACCTAATGTAAATTTAAGGTTTGTTCGTAATATTTCACTTCAAAAATAGATCTAAGTAAGGATAGATCATCAAGCAAAATAAATACGAATTTAAAATGACTGCACTGAGCATCTTTTGTTCCCGAGTTCCTTGATGGAGGCCTTTTCCCTTTATGGCGGTAATATTTGTAAAACCTGGCTGTTGGCTGTTGTTTTCATCTCTTTTGTAGTGCTGGGCAGATTCATCTCTGTAACTGTGCGGAGAAGCAACCAAGAAATCCAGTCTCTGCTTGCTGGTCATAGTTTCTAGTTTTCCCGGAACTTTGTCTATAAAACAAACGACAATCTCATTAAGAGCAGTACTACTTGGATGCGAATCGTCGCTTCTTTTACTGAAGAACTGAGGATTTTTAAGCTTAAAACACCTTCCTCTCAAAGAGGTCGAGTAAAATTCTCTGAGAGAAATTGTTGGACAATCACCCACTTTCAGGAAAAATTGAAATAATGAATTAATGAAGAAACATATATTAGAGAAAAAGGTGTTGAACACTTCCGAGTTTTATCAGCTATAGAGAAAGGAAATGAAGAAAAATTTCTACTGCGTCTTTGTAGCTGGCACGCCTGTTGGTTTCTTAAATACAAACCCTGATTTAAAAAAGACACGTCTTTCATAGTGGTCTTTGTCTGAGTTTTTCAGATGTTCTTTTAACTGCACAAACTGAAAAAAATACCTTACATCCATTTTAAGCAAAATTGAATCTGAGGACAGGGTAGCGCTCGTTTATTTCTATACGATGGTGAATTTTCATCATCACTTTAGTTTAAAAGAATAATCAGATTTCCAATGCGGCTTTTGCTGATATGGCTTCACAGTAGGCTCGATTACCAGCCGCTGTTCGGGAAAATGAGCCCACACTCATCCCCCGAAAGAGAGCGAGAGTCTCTCTTCGGGGAGGATCAAAGACCGGACCCGGGAGACGGTGGAAATCGAGCCTAGCTTCACAGTTGATCGTTCAATACTAACCTAAAGATGCTTCATTCTGATAAAACTTTACTTGGTGATCAGGGAACTCCATTCTGCCTTCACTTTTTGCGTTATTGAAAAGTGTTGCCTTTGGTCGATGAATCTTCTTTGCGGTTGTTAACGTAAAAACCAGATTACGTTGCAATCTATTTGGTTTTAAGCTTTTCCGGGACACCTTTAACATCGGCGCCAGTGTTCTCCAGTTCTGCATGTTGCGGTCTGTGGTCAGGATTCAAAGATCTTCAGTGGGAATCCTGGTGAAGTCTATGCGATATTAGCTCTTCTCGGGTTCCTATGGTGTGTCAGTGTTTGTCGAACGTTTCATTCAACTTATAAAGCCCTCGAATTTTAATTTAATGAATGAATGAACCGTAACTTTGACCTTGCATTGTAATAATGCACGTTCATAAGTAATAACAACGGATGTACAAAGTTAAAGAGGCTTCAGCGTCCTAGGTGTGTCCTTCAGTATTCAAACTTCCACTTTAAAAGTTCCTCCAATGTCATTGTTTTGTTCGCAGACAAGGCTGTCTAAGGTTACCACGAATATCAAACTACGTGACTTTTGTTTGACCAGGAGGAAAGTTACTTGTTGTATCCTTAGCACTCAACGACAACTTTATAGATTACCGTATCAAGTCATTTCAGTTTTTTACTTAATTAGTTCTTTCCTAAGTTAAATTCAGCCTCATATTTCATATATATGATTCATGTCTGTATATCCAACTGTATACCGTTGACCGGCTTCGTATAAGTAAACCAGGAAATATGCTTATAAATGATGAAAAATTTCTTCTAATATTTCACGAGATGAGGAGCAAACCGACCGCAATTTTGTCGTCAAACTCACTTTCTCGTTTTATTCTTTTTATGAAATTTATTACCGCTTCATGTCCTTAGCATTCTTATCGACCTTTTGATCCAGTGGGCGTATTCAAATCGGCATTCAATTTTGCTCTTGTTTTCTTACATTCCTACACGCTCGTCCGATTCTAACGCGGTGAGGCGTATAGTTGAAATAAAATTTCAAAAATTGAATAGGTATTAATTAATATAATAGGCTTTAATTTAGGTTTGCTCAAAAACCTCCTTTTTTCTTATCAGTCCTACCTTAATCCTCGGACGTACAAGTGGGTGGGGGGGGTCTGAGTTTCCTCCTAGAGGATAAAACGTCAGCACCTGATGTTTTCAGTAGCCGTTCGTTCATTCCGCGCGCACATTTGAGTTAAGTTCAGTGATGGTCAGTTTCTATGGTTAGGAGTTATGAGGTGGTTAAGCCATTTTTAGTGAAATTACATGTTTTTTGAACAGTGAAAGTAAATCTTGTGGCTAAAATCATGCAAAGTGCTTATTTATCTCAAGCACAAAAAATCACCATTTGTCGCGGTTTTAACCTGCTTTCTAATTCTTGGTAAAATCCAAGATGGCGACCATTGTTGGTGACGTCACAGTTCCCCAGCAGCGCCACTACCCATAAAATATACCTCATCTTGTAGAGAAAACTAAAGGTACAATCGTTTCGAAATCCTGCAACATATAAAAAAACTCTAGGGGGGTCCATCCACCCCCCCCCCCCATTGTACCACCGTGGGGGTATGAATTTGCATGTACGTCAGAGGGTGACAAGTATGGCGTCAATCCTGGATGTGTTAAGATTGTTTTGGGTAAATTATACTCTTGAAAATTGTCAAAAAAACTTAAATGGATAGGTAATTTTCGTTGACCTCTGGTATACAATTCTACGCTTGAGCGCTGTATTTTACTGTAACATTAGATCTAAGTAAGGACAGATAAACAAGCAAAATAAATACGAATTAAACAGGAATCCAGTGAACAGTCTTTGTGCCCTAGTTCCTTCCGTTTCATGGAGACCCTTTTCGTTCGTGGCGATTATGTTCACCAAACCTGGCTGTTGACCGGTTTTGTTTTTATCTCTTTGGTAGTACTGAGCAGATTCACGCTTCTTTGCAGTCATAACATCTCTGTAACTGTGCGAACAACCAGCCAAGGAATCCAATTCCTGCTCGGCACTAGTCGGCATAGTTTCTAAGTAGCCCGGAACTTTGTCTATAAAACAAACCGGACAATTTTATTTAGAGCAGTGCTGATTAGGATGCAATCTTTGTTTTTTAAAAAAATCATTTGGTGGGCTCAAAATTTACTGATGTATAGAAAACTGAGGTTTTTAATACTTAAGGTACTTGTGTCTACCTCTGAAAGAGGCCGAGAAACATTGAATTATCTGAGTGAAATGAGTTGGACCCATCACCTACATTCAGAAAAAAAGGTTTTTGAAGTACGCTTCTTGCATCTGCTCAGGAAAAGGGAAATTAGCGAGAATAAAATTCTTATTACCTCAGTTATAACTCAGTGGTGTACTGTCCGCCTCTCAAATACTAAAAATTAGTTTGTGTCTTTTGTACTGGTTCTTGTCCAAGTTCAAATCTTTGTCAAGCCTGCTTTTTTTCTGTTGTTTTTCAACTGCATAACTTCATTCCACATCATTTAGAGCTAAACTGGATCTGAGGCAGAAGGGCTAGCGCTCAAAAAGTCATTTTTTTTTTAAATTTCCACTCGATCAAAAAATCAAATTTTTCTTATCACCCTCTCTGCCGACGAAGCTTCACCACAGTTTATAGTTCAATACTAACCTAAAGATGCTTCATTCTGGTCAAACTCCAGTGAGCCGTCACGTTCTGCGTTGTTAAGAAGTGTTGCCTTTGGTCGATGGATTTTCCTTACAATTGTTAACGGGAGAAGATGACATGGTAATCTCGTCGTGGGTTTAAAGTTTTGCTGGGCAACTCTAAATAACGGTTTCAATGTTCTCCTGGTCTGCATGTTAAAGTCGGCTGTGATTAGGAGTAAAAGATCTTCAGTTGGAAAGTTGGTGAACAGAGGTTGATGCGATATCGGCACTTTTCAGGATCCTAGGGTGTATTGTCAGTTTCTGACTTACAAAGCCTTCGAATTTTAATTGAATGAATAAGTAACCCTTTCTCGTGATATAGAACGTTCAGTATAATAATCGAATTAATATTAATTGAGAAATATATTTCACGAAAACAAAACAATGTCTAAAAATAAGAAAGCTTTATTTTCTGACTCAGTGACCTTTCGGTATTCAAATTTTCCCATTATTTCCTCTACCATTGTTTTGTTCACGGACAAAGCTTTTTGAGGTTACCATCGATTATCAAACTTCCAATTTTCAAAAAAGAGGCTTTTGTTAGACCAAAAGGGTGTTCATAATTGTGTCCTCACGATGCTCAACGACAACGTCATAGACCAACAAACTAAGCACGCTACTTCAGTGTCTTTCATTCTCTACAAGATCTTGATCGAGTTAAATTCAATATAAGGTTCATTTTTAATGTATAGTTCATTTCTGCATTGGGGCTTGTACAGTACTTAGACAGGCTTCGCTTACCCGAGCTTACGTTCACCAGGAAATAAAAATTCCTTATATCTTATTCAGGATGAAGAGCAATTACAAGCTTATTATGACTTTGTTGTCAAATGCACTTCTTAGTTATTTTTACATTTTTTCTCGAACTTTTCTAGAGCTTCGTGTCCTTGGCATTCAAATTTGCCTGTTGATCCGTGAAGCGCCTTTACTCGGCATTCAATTTTGCACTTTTTTTGTTCTTGCATTTCTGCACGTAACTCGGACTTGGTTATATCACAAATTAAAATTAAAATTAAAATTATTATTATTATTATCATTATTATTATTATAATAGCACAGTCTGTAGAGATGCAGTACGTTATGCTCGCATGGTTATGCATCAATAGCTTAATCTGTACAGGTGTTGCTGTACTGATAAAAATATAATATGATGATTTCCGGGGACATTCGAATGTTTTCCGTTGATCTGATCTGACTGAAAATGTATTTTTATTTTATGATTCACATTCAGCTCTAAGTGTGTAAGATAACTGTAGGGTTATATCGATAACAAAGTTAAGAGTGGGACTTGGATTCTGGATTCCACGAGCAAAATTTTCCCCGATTCCGGATTCCATAAGTAAAATTTTCCCCGATTCCGAAATCCGATTTCCCTTACATTTGGCAGATCAAGGTGCACTTGTATAACTCCAGCTAAAGATCAAAAGGCGACGTATGACAATTCATTGACATTGTACAAGTAAAAATATGTTTTTTGTTTGATTTAATTCAAAAGTAATTCAACTTTGGTGAAGAAGATACATTTGGCAGAAATCAAAGCTATGGGCTGAGTTCAGTGTTCTGTATAACTGTCTCCAGCTAAAGAGCGGTTTTAGGTATTTTTAAAAGGTATCGACGTATGACAATTCATTGACATTGTTTGGATCGGAAACAAGTAAAAAATATGTTTTTTGTTTGATTTAATTTTCAAAAGATAATTCAATTTTGGTGAAGTGTTTAAAAGCACAAAGCAGATAACTAAAGTCCCTGGTCTGAGTCAATTCAGTTCGAAATTTAACAAAAGAGCCACCAATCTAAGTGAATAAAAAAAAGGAAGCGCTCAAAATATGAAAAAGCTTCAAAAGGACGGATGGACAAGGTGATTTTGTTATGGTTTTTGAAAAATTCACTTTTTTAAAGTTCATTTTTTGTTGTTTGTAAGGTTTGATAGAATGATTGGGAGACATATCTGTTTAACAGGAAGCGGTGATTTTGTCATTCACAAGTAATTTTTAGAGTTCCGTAGCGAATACGGTTGCGTAATCAGCATTGTTAACAAAAAGAACCAGACAACAGCCCCTTAAGACGTCGCGTCGCCATCTTTTTGTTCAGTGCTTTTTGACTAGAACTGCTTCAGGCAAGAAGCATGTGGTTTTAAAATTGGGCATATATCAGCCGCAATCTCTTGGGAAGTTCAAATTGATAAACCCGGAGGAAAAGGTTAGTTTATACGTGATACATGATGACGCAGTTAATTCCAAGTTAGGGACGTGTCACTCTCACGCCCAAAATAACGGGGCTGCGGGCCTAAGTGTATAAATTGCGTGGCTCATTCATCATCAGAAATAGAGCTTATAGACCAAGCTTCCTGTCTTCAGCTCCCAGAATCCTCGATACAAAATGAGCAGTCTAAGTAACATAAAAACATTATTGAGAATCTCCACGCGAAATTATGGATTCACGGCGATTCGAAGGGATTATGGCCCTGAAGCTGTGGAAAAACTTCGTGGCTCTCTCAAGATCGAGCAAACTTTGGCTAGACGCGGTGCAAAAAGACTTAAGCAGCTGATATGCAGCGGAGAAGGAGAATCTTACGTTCACGCACTGGGTGCCATGACAGGTTTGTCAAGTCAACGTCGTAAAGAATAAACAAATTTTAAAAAGATTGCAGCTTTTAATATTTTAAAATAACATTTTCATATTTGGAAACAAACTTAAGGTAACTGAACTTAGTTGAAAGCATTGTTTTTCGTTGATTTCCGCCTTTTTCTTAAATTTCTAGCCAAGATTTCATTTAATCAAACATTTACTCATTAAGATGGAGTCCTTGGTTCAGTAATTTTTTAAGAATTTTTGGATGATTTTTGGAATGTTTTAGTGTACAAAAATTTGGGGAAGGGATGTTTAAAATTTGGAAAAATTGGAGAATATAGGATTTGGAGGTCGTAGATAAATACCAGATAGTCCACCACCACAAAAAGGTGCCTCTGATCCCATTAGCGGACAAACTGGTTTATGTACATAACTTTTCTACCCTAAATTATTTTCTTCCCAAATCAACATCATTTCCCCAAAAACAACCAGAATGCCTCCTTAACTGTTAAAGCATAAACAAGCACGAACGATAACAAGTCCAATTTTTTGATATGCTAAACCAAGAAGAGTCAGATGAAAACTCTTTTGTCAGCACCCTGGGTGCTATGACAGGTTAATACTACACTTTGTTATATAGCTGGAATTTTTTTCCCAACGACGCACGCTCTCATGGGTTACTTCGAGGTCACATGATATGAAACTGTTTCCCGCCAAAATCTCCCGAGCGACGAACATTGCAAAATATATGACTTCAAAGGGGAACAGTGCACTGTTACCCGGGAATAGGGAGTTTAAGTAGTCACGTTTTTGAGCGACGTGCGTCTGCCGGAAGTGGACTTTTTGCGCTCTTGAGCCGTGATTTTGAACAATTGTTTGGCCAAAAGCGTCTCTATAAGAGTAACGACACTTAGCAATACAGATTTAGTAGCGCCAGGGCATATTAAAAGAGAAAAGGCTCAAAACGTCACTGCTTAAACTCCCTAATGTTGACCGACAACCACCGTTACAACGAGTTTTTTAATGAAATTCCAGCTTCAAAATTTCTAAATCACTTATTTTCAAAGACTGGTCCCTCGCGAAACAGTTAATTTTGTTTCCCCAGAATCTTTAGGTTACTTGAACTTTCCATTTTCTGTCCGCAGGTGGTCAGGCAGTTCAGATGGCCAAAGCAGGTTTACAGTCCATTTATCTGAGTGGCTGGCAGGTGGCAGCTGATAGTAACATGGCGGGGCAGACATACCCTGATCAGAGTTTATATCCTGCTAACTCAGCTGCAAAGCTCGTTGAGCGAATCAACAACGCCTTTATCAGAGCAGATCAGATCGCACACATGGAAGAATCCGACAAACATATTGATTTTTTTTTGCCAATTGTTGCTGACTGTGAGGCTGGATTTGGTGGCCCGCTTAACGCCTTTGAAATCACCAAAGCTATGGTACGTTTGTATTTTTCTTCGCGATATTTTGTCAATTTCCAAGCCCTATGAAATCAATTCCTACGTACTATTCGTTTGTCCAAAAAGGCACGTATAGACTATACAGATTGGCATTCCTCCCTCGATTCTCCGCTCGAAGTTTCTCTTCCACGTCTTAAACAAGAAGCACACAAGCTCTCCTTGTTTACGAACTGAGACATATAACGTGTTGTATTTGGCCGTCACAATTAAGGTTTCAACTTAATCATTTACAAAACCATAGCAACGTTATTCCAGTTTCTATGGAAACTATAACACCAAAAAAATTCTATAGAGTACGGTGTGTTAATAGAAAAATTTATACCTTATCCCTTTGACTGAGTTCCTGTGTTTTCAAGACAAGGGTGACCTCGGCCATTTCTGATATCCTTTTTTTCTTATCACGGTATAACCTTTAAATTCTCTCCATCAGATTTCAGCTGGTGCCGCTGGCGTCCATTTTGAAGACCAACTGGCATCAGAAAAGAAATGTGGTCACATGGGAGGAAAAGTTCTTCTACCAACACAGCAGTTTATTAAAGTCCTCAATGCTGCTCGTCTGGCTGCTGACGTCATGGATGTTCCCACTGTTATTATTGGACGAACAGATGCTGAGTCAGCTTCTTTAGTGACGTCAGATATTGACCCACGTGACCAGCCTTTCCTGACAGGTGAAAGAACAGCAGAGGGATTCTATCGTTCAACCGCTGGCTTGGAACAAGCCATTGCACGTGGATGCAGTTACGCTCCGTATTGTGACGTAATCTGGTGCGAGACAGGCAAACCTAATTTGGAAGAAGCACACATGTTTGCTGACGGAATCCATTCCATGTTTTCAGGTAAACCACTCGCTTACAACTGCTCACCCTCTTTCAACTGGAAAGCCAATCTCAGTGACAAAGAGATAGCTGTGTTTCAAAAGAACTTGGTAAAATGGGCTACAAATATCAGTTTATCACCTTGGCTGGTTTCCACTCCCTGAATCACGCCATGTTCAAGCTTGCACGCGACTACAAAGAGCACGGCATGTCCGCCTACACCAAAATACAAGAAGATGAGTTCGCGCAAGCGCAGTATGGCTTTACTGCACACAAACACCAGAGGGAGGTAGGAACGGGATATTTTGACCAAGTAAATGTGGCGATAAGTGGAGGATCAAGTTCAACAACAGCTCTGGATGGATCAACAGAGGAAGAACAGTTCACTGAGAATTATAAAAAGTTAAAAGGATGGGGTCGACGAGGTTTGACCGACACATATGCATATTAAAGAGTTTCTAAAATTGGTTTTAGATAACAAATCGAATCTGCAATAATATAAGGCAATTTTTTTAAACATCGTTTCAGTATTACATATTGCACGCTATGGCAAACGCGCCATCAGATGTGTAGGACCTTTCTTATGGTCTAGACTAAGTATAAAGATTGAGGAGACTCTTCAGCTCTAAGTTAAACTAGTATCAGACAATGTTGCCGATAACAATTATTGAACATTGTAAATATTCGTTCCTTTTTTAAGTATTAGAATTGTAAATATTGAAACTTCTTAGTAATTTATAATTGTAAATATTCTGTATATTGTGGGTTCATTTTTGTTTTATTGTCCCCCAATTAGTTTACACGAGCTTAGTACCCTTATACGTTCTAATAGAGACTGGGTCTTTTTTACTTTCTCACTGTACTGCCGCACTTAGCTGAAAGTAAATTTCAGTAATCACTCTATAGCTTATTCATTTTTTTCCTAATTTGTGCTTAAACCTAAACCTCGGCCTGTGAACAATGCATATAGTGTAGATATTGTATTTTTCTTCTATTTTGACTGATTTTTATCCTATAACATCATCACCTGTTCGTTTTGTTTTGATTGATTAAATAAATAAACTACCCTTAAGATACAAAGCGTTGTACTTTGTCTGTGCAGCGTGCGCGGTATATTAGAGAACAAAATTCTCTTCCATCGAGCAGCTAAACCAGGTTAATCTTGTTACGTTTTGTGTATTGAGGACTTTATATACCGTGTAACCTTCCCTTACGAACACTATAAGGTTTTCAAAATTTCACCTACGTCCTTACGACCACATTAGATACTTTAAAAGGTGACGTTACACGGGACGATTCGCAACGACGATTTTGAGTGCTACACAGCGTAGCAATGTTGGAACAATGTTGCAACTATTCGAGACAATGTCGCAACAATGCTGCGTTGCGAACGCGTCCGGACATTTTTAGAATATGGCGCATTCGTGTGGACAGAGCCATGAACCACTCAGGAGAGCGGTATGGGATTCCACACTGGTTTCCTGTGGACGGAAGGCCGATATTTGCGGTTTCAAAAATAGAGAACTTTAGATTCAAGGACGAGGACGACTACGAGTACGAGATTTGACTTGAAGTTTTTTCGCGTCTTCACAAAATATACACTCCCGGAAAGCTTTATTTTACCATTTTTTTACTAGAAAAGTTAGCACTGTTACCTTTAGTGAAGGAGGTTACACCTTCCCCCAATCGCAAAATGAGAAAACTTCTAACATTTGATAACTTGTTTCCGCCACTTCGACATTCTCGCTAAAACTCGTAGTAGAGTGACGATGGCTGCCACGTTTTCCCGCCAAAATGACGCTGGTTTACGAGCACGTACTACGTAGTATTGAGAAAATCTCGTACTCGTCTTAGAATCTAAAGGTCTCTATTATCCAGATTCGTGTGAACGTGGCCTAAGATACCACGACTGTGACGCGCGACAAAAACGTCACTAAAACTGAACTCGCGTTCTTTCAAACTTCATTGCCACAACTCCGACACGCTCACTTTGTCAAATGTATTCGAACTGAGCTCTTTTAATTCTCAAGAACCATATCCAGCTTCAGAAAGAGAAAGAAAAATTCGCCGTCGTTCGCGAAAGTCCTAAAATTAGGCAGTTTCTCTGAAATTGTAATCGTGTAGTGACGGCAAAGAAATGAACCAAAAAGTGTGCTACATGTGTTGGCGCCGGCTTCAGCAGTGTGTTCAATTTGTACTCCGCTTATAATTCCAGTCTTCTCCTGTTCTCACTCTGAACCTTTTTTCCTGAAAACGTCATGTTTACCCTCTAGGATTTCATGACACGAAGGCGGTCCGTGTATTGTGTGGGTTCCTTTGTAGTTAACAGTTAAACCGGTTTCACCTAAAAACACTAGCGAGCACAACAGTGCCGGTACTGACATGAACAAGTTGAAAAGTTGGTGCAAGAGGCGGCTGAAAGGCAAACTGCGCGCAAAGAAAACGAGCTGGTCCGAAAAGAACACGATTTTCACGGTTGATGCGAAAGCTGATCCGGGGAGGCTTTAATTCCGAGTCTCCTGCCATATTTTTTTTTATCTCGATAAAAACGGTTGCTTCTTGAAATCTATTGTAATCAAAATATGCTTTTCGGTATATCAGGCCAAAATTTTGGCAATTTCATTTAAACTCCATGCAGTTTAAAGTTTGTTAAAAAAAACCATACAAAATTAGTAGGCCTATTTTCCAGTTGAAAGCATGGATTTCAATCCGGGCTGTTCCCGAGGGGGGTGGTGTTCTAGGGCTCCGGGCCTGGTTTACAGACATTCATCAGAGGGATTGGAGTTTTGTCTCAAGGGAAATGCGTGAAACAAAATACTAATAAACACAAAATTTTGTACAAAAAATTCGACACAACATCAACAGAAGCTGAAGAAAGATATTCAGTAGTAAAACAAATTAAAAACCGTTAGCCGTATAAAATGTCTTCTAAAACGAAATAAGACGATATTTAGTTTTCAGAACGCCTACGAAGCATAGAATATGTCACAAGTAATTCTTACCGTTTCATGTGCAATTCGGTAAAAATTTCCAATGCCTGTCCGGTCGCGTTCCTGTTAGATTTAGTGACGCTCTCCTTGAGCAATTTCTTTCTTCTTGTACGGTTTTTAGCTGTAGAAATTTCTTTTGGTTAGAGGCACAGTGAAAGCATGAACACGCTAAATCTGTGTCAGTAAAACCTTTGAGGGTGGATTCATTTGCAGCACATGCGTATAGCCGGTCACATTTGCCCGTCGGAATTTTTTATCTTGTTTTCAATCTTCAAACTGAATAAACAATTATAACGCCGGGGGGAGGGGGGTACAACATCTTATACGGGAAGGGCTCCACTCCGCGGCCGAGTCCAGGCCCTCACCCTCTCACAAACCATTTTTGACAGCGAAGGTACCCCTTCCTTAACCGTCTTTTAAATATGAATAAATCACTAAACCAGAACGTGTTCTTGTCTTTTTCACAGCCATAAAATGAACCTGTTAGCCCTTTTAGATCCTTTCACATACCGCAATGACAGATGTCCCTACCCTCGTGAGTCTCCTGCCCTTTAGGGCGGAGCCTTCCAGTATAGGCCGTTATAGGAAGTACCTTCCCCCCCACCCCCCGGGAGGGGGTCTAACGGGCAAATGCGACTTTTTTTATCAACTTGTTCATGGAAAAACATCAATTACGAATACTAAAAAAATGTAACACTCCGCGGACAGTTCTGCGCAAAAGAGTTACAACACGTGTTTTCTCAAGTCAAAATTTCGGCGAATTGATAAACCTTGCTACGCTGGGGCTCCGGTCATCTGTTCGAGAAAAAGAAAATGTCGGTCTAAACAAATTGCTCGGAAACTCTGAAGGGAAGAGAAATAAAAATGATAATACAGCAAAGTTCCCCAGGACTCACAATGCCTCGACGGCGGAGGGATTAACAAGATAATATTCAGTTGTGTTTTTTTTTTCACAAATTAAAGCTTAAGATACATTCATGGATAACAACAACAATTAGTTGACAGCAAGAAAGAAGTAAGCATTTGCGGAATTTATTTTATACACATTTAAGTCAATAACTTTTGAATTGCACCATCACTCTTTGCACATTTTGGTCAAATTCAAAAGTCTTATGAATAAATAGCTTATAAAAATGTTATCATGAATTTACTGTTATGAGCAAATAAATAATCTTTAAAACTCTTAATAGATGCAAACTCTCTTATTTACATTAGCCAATAAAAACATATATTAGAATGTCTTTTTAATTTATTTAAGAAGTCCACGTCATTCGTGACTGAAACCTGTTAATTATAAAATGTTTCTTTTGTTTCTTTCATTGGCTCGCTACACTCTTTCCCGAATGCCCGTGGTTCTCTGTGAACTGTTCTTCCTCTGTTGATCCATCCAGTGCTGTTGTTGAACTTGATCCTCCACTTATTGCCATATTTACTTGGTCAAAATATCCCGTTCCTACCTCTCTCTGGTGTTTGTGTGCAGTAAAGCCATACTGCGCTTGCGCGAACTCATCTTCTTGAATTTTGGTGTAGGCGGACATGCCGTGCTCTTTGTAGTCACGTGCAAGCTTGAACATGGCGTGATTCAGGGAGTGGAAACCAGCCAAGGTGATAAACTGATATTTATAGCCCATTTTACCAAGTTCTTTTTGAAACACAGCTATCTCTTTGTCACTGAGATTGGCTTTCCAGTTGAAAGAGGGTGAGCAGTTGTAAGCCAGTGGTTTCCCTGGAAACATAGAATGGATTCCGTCAGCAAACATGTGTGCTTCTTCCAAATTAGGTTTGCCTGTCTCGCACCAGATTACGTCACAATACGGAGCGTAACTGCGTCCACGTGCAATGGCTTGTTCCAAGCCAGCGGTTGAACGATAGAATCCCTCTGCTGTTCTTTCACCGGTCAGGAAAGGCTGGTCACGTGGGTCAATATCTGACGTCACTAAAGAAGCTGACTCAGCATCTGTTCGTCCAATAATAACAGTGGGAACATCCATGACGTCAGCAGCCAGACGAGCAGCATTTAGGGCTTTAATAAACTGCTGTGTTGGTAGAAGAACTTTTCCTCCCATGTGACCACATTTCTTTTCTGATGCCAGTTGGTCTTCAAAATGGACGCCAGCGGCACCAGCTGAAATCTGGTGAAGAGAATTCAAAGGTTATACCGTGATAAGAAAATCGGGGGATATCAGAAATGGCCGGGGTCACTCTTGTCTTGGAAACACAGGAACTCAGTCAAAGGACTAAAGTAGAGATTTTTCTATTGACACACTGTACAATAGCAATGTTTTGGTATTATAGTTTCCATAGAAACCGGAAGAACGTTGCTATGGTTTTATAACTAAGTAAGTAAGTAAAAACCGTAATTCTGAAGGACAAATGCAAAAACGGACTTCGTTATATAGATGTTCGTTATATCGAGGTTCCACTGTAAGTTTCAGTTCATAAACAAGGGTAGCTTTGGAAAAGAAACGTCGAGCAGCGAATCAAAGGGGGTTGCCAATCTGTAAAATCTATACGTGCGTTTTGTGGACAAACGAATCGTAAGAATTAATCTCATTCGGCTCGGAAATTTGGAAAAGAACGTGAAGAAAAATACAAACGTACCATAGCTTTGGTGATTTCAAAGGCGTTAAGCGGGCCACCAAATCCAGCCTCACAGTCAGCAACAATTGGCAAAAAAAAATCAATATGTTTGTCAGATCCTTCCATATGTGCAATCTGATCTGCTCTGATAAAGGCGTTGTTGATTCGCTCAACGAGCTTTGCAGCTGAATTAGCAGGATACAAACTCTGATCAGGGTATGTCTGCCCCGCCATGTTACTATCAGCTGCCACCTGCCAGCCACTCAGATAAATGGACTGTAAACCTGCTTTGGCCATCTGAACTGCCTGACCACCTGTGGAGGGACAGCAGAAGGATATGTTACTGAAATGCTAAAAAACAACTCATTGCGACTTTAACATTTGTTTTACCGTTAACTTCTGCATATATTTTCCCTGTGCTTATATATCTTTGTAAGGGGTTTTAGGGGGCTTATAAACCGAGGGGCCTTGAAATTGGAAAAGGAAAAAAGAAAAGCGCTTCGAAACAAGTTATAGCAGTGCTAATCAAAACACGTTTTGCATTTACTGGTCTTAAATAAAGTTTCAAATCGTCATAATAGATCGAATTTATTTCAAGATAAACATAATAATAAAAGCTAGAGGGTGCCCGGGCTTATAATCAGACGTATTTTTTTTACAGGTAGATGAGTCTATAACTGGAGAGAGGGCGGGCTTATAAATGGGGGAGCTTGTAAGCGGTAGTTTACAGTATTCAACTTTCTGAGTCCTGTGTGCAGTAAAGATAGATTTGTCCTTTATGGGGTACCCAAAGGGTATCAGTTCCAGTTTAAAATTAGCTTCCAAAAGTTTTGTTTTTGTTTTGTTCCTGTTTCGCTTTTTTTTTTCTGGTAACACCTGGAGTCGCCGAACTTGATTTTCCGCTAAAAATAAACCTCCTAGTTTCCTTGGCAACTTCTTGCATAAATCTCTTGTTGCAATTTACATTTTGTACATAAGTTACCTTAATAATGCCGAACACTTGGACTTAATATCGTTCGTGCTTGTCTATGTTTTTAAGAAACCGTTAATCTATGTTAAGTTAAGTTTAGTTTAGTTTAGTATTTATTAAAAGCCGCAATCTTTTCAAATATATAGTTGTCTTAAGTTACGACTTTAACTTATCTAACCTGTCATGGCACCCAGTGCGTTAACATACGAGTCTCCTTCTCCGCTGCATATCAGCTGCTTAAGTCTTTCTGCTCCTCTTCTGGCCAAAGTTTGCTCAATCGTCAGAGAGCCACGGAGTTTTTCCACAGCTTCAGGGCCATAGTCCCGTCGAATCGCCGTGAAACCGTAGTTTCGTATGCAAATTCTTAACACTGAGTTAAACTTGCTGAGACTCATGTTAGTCTAGTTTGCCGGTTCTATACTCTGAAGATTTCTCGCTTCGTCCGTGGCCTTCACTCAGAATGATGGCTAGTTGAACGATGAAACCCACGTTTTATACGGTTTGATTTTTTTTGATACGTGAAACTTTTTGCATATTTGGAAATATGTGCGTCAGCTCTGACGTAATGTGTCATTCAATACAGGATGAATAATTTTTAGTGCCAATCAAATTGCACTCGTTAAATCTGATGGCTGGATTTGAAAATCTTCCAAGGGATACAAATACACTTTTAAACATTGACAAATATTTATTAATCGACTTTTTCCAAGCCTAGAGTAGCAGAGAGTTTTGACCTTAGCGAGAAAAGATATTGCTCCTTGTCTAGTAACGCCGGCCGTGACTAAAGCGCAGCAGAGTCATTTCCGAGAGAACGTTCCGCATCATAAGCCGGTATTATCCTTGTTCACGAAAATAATTTTGGTATCCGGTCACAATGACACTGTAATTTTGAAGGATGTCCGACACATGAACTTAATCAATAATTTGCTTAGCGAAAAGATTATCTAACTCATCAAAGCATTTATATTCATAATTTTGCCATTGACCTGGCCACTATTTTTTTTTTTTCCTTATGTACTTTTATTAACGTTAAGCCATAACGATATTGTTACTGATTTATTCACGGGATCGAATATGGTAGGACGCTTCTTTTAATTATTTGGTCCAACAGCCGGGCAAAGTTAAAAAGTCAAGAATTGAATAAAGCCAATTAACACTCGGGACCCTTCAGGTCACGGACTTTAACAGAAACTGTATGGTAGTTCAGTCTTCAACTTTAAAATGATAATAATGATTAAACAATTTATGCATCACACTAAACGAAAAGAGATGCTTTAAATAATTTTTATATTCTGTGATAGCGGCTAGGAAATTCTTCTTTCATACTGACTTTATTGGACACAAGTTAATCTGTGACCCATCGCAATGTAATTCAGTTTATGACCCTTTACATTAACAAATCACCGCTTGAATTTAGACAAAGCTTTCTTTTAGCGAAAGGACTTTGATTTCGGACATTTATCCTACCATCTGTTTAGGAATGCCCGAATCAAAAAAGTGTGATATTGATTCCTTTAATAAAACTCGGAAAAAAAAGGATCCCAATATTCTTTTTAACGGAACAAGGACACTACGAGATAAAGATGATTGACACCTTTTTTTCGTTTGTGATGTGACATTTCTATTTTAAGATTTTTCTTTAGTGTCCTCAACGCAGTTCGTCTTTTGTTATACAGTAACAAGATTATGATGGTATTTTCACTCTTTGAGTCCATTCTTGGCATAAAAAGGTATTCATTTCTGGGCTTTTCTTATAATCATTGGTATGATAAATGAATAAAGTCTTGGTCATCCAGACTTTCTCAAAATCCTTCTTTTTTTTTTTTTTAACTCGTTGGGTTGGGCCATGCGGCATCGTCGCTCGCTTAGCCGCTGCGCCACCTTCGCTTGCCTTGGAGATACCCTCCTTGAGATTTCTTCCTTCACCCTAAAAAAACAAAGCCCGCTACGCAGGCTACTTTGGAGACTGCTCAGCTCTATCGAGAACTTTTGAGGGGTCGACTTAGAGCAAGTCTATTGTTTCGCAAACTTTGCATTGGTCATACTTGGGTTCTGGGCTCCACTCGCGTTTCTTGACTGCTGAGGAATCCAATTTTCAGACGGTATTATTATTATGTTTTCCATAAACGTGAAAGAACTTTTGCCATCAGTTGTTCGTGATGGATGGATGATTGACTCAAATCCGCTATGTTACGCAAGGAGGGGGGCCCTCAACAGATTAAGGTTTTGCACCCACAGTCACATCGGCATTCTAAATTATAATTGACTATTGTTAAAGGAGCTTAAAGGCTGTTGAGTAACGTTTAAAATAGCGTTCTATTGCTTTTGGTGTAGGTAACGTTAGGTTACATCAAAGAGTTGAAGACAAGAAGTTAGCAGTGAGTGCGTGAGAGTTTATATGTTCTTTCTAAGGAGAATGGGTGTTTCCGCACTGTATCACAAATCACGTACATGATTGAGTTTCCTTGAAACAAAAAGGGTGTCAATTCGTCATAACTTATTCTTATAAAGAGCACACACGTTCCAGTTTGTGTTCTCGAGGGAATCAAATATTGTTATCTTACCAAATTGTTGTCAATTTTAGAATTATTCAAAGTCAGCATTTACTTTTAGGTGAGTGTTACTTGACACCGTAGGTTAGCGTCAAGCCTCTTAAGTATAATCAAATAAACATCAACGAGAAATCGCAACGAACGAAGAAAGACTCACGATCTCTTCTCAGACCGTCCAACCGTCAGTAGACACTACAACAGAAATAATTGGTACAATGGAAATGTAATTGGTTTTTAACTCATGCACGAACAATATTACCAGATCACTAAGTCACCCTGAAGGAAGGCGGCAGGGAAAATTTCGAATGGTTTGGTGTAAGAACTTCCTCATGCCAAAGCGGTTACATAGTAGTGCTTGCCTGAGTGACGTCTGTTTGAATTTTTTTGTCAGGTCAAGAAATGACTCAGGGATTCTATTAAGAGGAAATTTACACTGAACTAAACATCGCCTTCCGTAGTCTTGTTTAACTGACACTTACAATATTCTTTTACTTCCATGTATACAGCTGCTGAAAAGCATTGAGGCGGATTTTGACCTCCCCGATGAATCCCACTGAATTCTCCGCACAAATATAAGATTACCTATGGCTGAATTATATCTAACGAGCTTCATTTAATTTATCGATCAGTGATGTCATCTTGTTGTTAGGTTTCACTTTGGTAAATCTTTTTGATAGCATTGCTAAGTTATGACATTCCACTACAACATCTGAATTATTTCCTCGCCTGCCAGCAGGAAGGACAAGATTGCTGTAGACGAGTTGCACAAGGCACGAAATTAATTCTTCTTTATTCCAACGCGTACGGGCCACCAGTTCAGGCCTGATACCACACACTATCCGAGTCACATAAAAAGTGATATAAGTCGTGACGCTTATAGTCAGGACGTCATCCACAAGTTCGAAAGTTAGAGTGACAAATACCTAGTCACTTGGCAATGTGCTTGGTCTAAGAGTAAATGGGTTAAAAAGGAAATGAAAAACAAAAGAAAACAATTATACAGATAAAAAAGAAGGAAAAGATTCTTTTGCGTCTGGGCGGACTCATACGCGTGTTTATAAATCTAACGTCACAAAACCACGAACACGTGGCGATAAATGTTGAACTACTTTGAGCATTTTTCATTTTTCTTTGTTTCAGATGAATAGTTTTGCGCATGCGTAAGGTACTGGCCATACCGCGGAGTTGTTAGTGTGTGCTTCAGTTCATAATTGTGGTCTTGTTAAAGGGAAAGCCATGTTTTTCTGAAGCTGGGTGTCATGTTAACCAACCATTTTAGAAGATCACGCTATACCAGTGGACAAACATATTAATGACGTATTTCCTGAGTCGAGTCACGCAAACCTTACCAGGGCATGAAGTAAGCTTTACAATAGGAACTTTTACCTTAGACACGTACGCTTGAGGAGTTGTATTGTTGTACTTCGCTAATCTCATTAGCTATGGTTTTTGGAGACTCAATGACTCAATGAGCCAATATTCTTTTTAACTCACTGCACTAGGAGATAAAGATGATTGACACCTTTTCTCGTTTGTGATGTGACATTTCTATTTTAAGATTTTTTCTTTAGTGTCCTCTTTTGTTATACAGTAACAAGATGATAATGGTATTTTCACTCTTTGAGTTCATTCTTGGCAAAAAAAGGTATTCATTTCTGGGCTTTTCTTATAATCATTGGTATGGTAAATGAATAAAGTCTTGGTTTCCCCAGACTTTCTCAAAGTCCTTTTTTTTTTACTGGTTGGGTTGGGCTATGCGATATCGTCGCTCGCTTGGCCGCGGCGCCAGCTTCGCTTGCTTTGGAGATACCCTCCTCGAGATTTCTTCCTTCGCCCTAAAAAAACGGAGCCCGCTACGCAGGCTACTTTGGAGACTGCTCAGCTCAATCGAGAACTTTTGAAGGGTCGACTTGGAGCAAGTCTATTGTTTCGCAAACTTCGCATTGGTCATGCTCGGGTTCTGGGCTCCACTCGCGTTTCATAACTGCTGAGGAATCCAGTTTTCAGACGGTATTATTATTATTATTTTTTCCATAAACGTGAAAGAACTTTTGCCATCAGTTGTTCGTGATGGGAGGATGATTGACTCAAATATCCGCTATGTTACGCAAGGAGGGGCCCTCAACAGATTAAGGTTTTGCACATAGTCACATCGGCATTCTAAATTATAATTGACTATTGTTAAAGGAGCTTAAAGGTTGTAGAGTAACGTTTAAAATAGTGTTCTATTGCTTTTGGTGTAGGTAACGTTAGGTTACATCAAAGAGTTGAAGACAAGAAGTTAGCAGTGAGTGCATGAGAATTCATATTATCTTTCTAAGGAGATGGGTGTTTCCGCACTGTATCACAAATCACGTACATGATTGAGTTTCCTCAGAAACTCATAAGGAGTTGAACCACCCCTTATGAGTTTCTGGTTTCCTAGAAAGAAAAATTTTGTCAATTCGTCATAAGTTATTCTTATAAAGAGCACACACGTTTCAGTTTGTGTCACGGCTTGAGGGAATCAAATATTGTTATCTTACCAAATTGTTGTCAATTTTAGAATTATTCAAAGTCAGCATTTACTTTTAGATGGGTGTTATTTAACACAGTAGGTTCGCGTCAAGCCCGTAGGTATAACTGATCAAAGAAACATCAACGAGAAATCGCAACGAACGAAGAAAGACTCACGATCTTTTCTCAGACCGTACAATCCTCAGTAGACACTAAAACAGAAATAATTGGTACAATTAAAATGACTCAGGGATTTTATTGAGAGGAAATTTACATTGAACTAAACAGTGTTGTTTAACGCTTACAATGCAATATTCTTTTACTTCCATGTATACAGCTGCTGAAAA